CATCGTTATCATCGGGACACCATCATCACCAACAACTTCGTCATCATCAACGTCCATGTCATTGGGGCCCCATCAACCTCGTCACCGTCATCAGCACCACCATCATCATCATGGGTCCCCACCACCATCATCAACATCATCATCATCATCAGCACCACCATCGGGCCACCATGGTCGAAATCGTAATCATCACATCATCAGCATCCTCATTACCAACATCATCATTATAATCGGCACACGACCATCGTCATTATCATCACCATCGCCCGCACCATCATCGGGACACCATCGCCATCACCACCATCATCATCAACATCATCATGGCGTCGCCAGCATCGGGGCACCATCACCATCATCACTTTTACCATCTCCATTTCACAGTCATCCCATCATCATCAACAGTATCAGCATGACCATCTGGAAACCATCACCGTCACCATTATCGTCATTATCATCATCATCATCATCATCATCATCATTGGGACACCACCATCATCATCGGAACGCCACAGTCGTCACTATTAGACTGACCATCGTCGTCATCATGAACATTATCAGCGACATGATCATCATCGGGACACCATCATCATCAACTTCATCATCATCAACACCATCCCATGGGGACACCATCAACATCGTCACCGTCATCACCATAACCATCATCATCATCACCGGGACACCATCATCAGCATCATCATCGTCATCAGCAGCACCATCATCGGGCCACGGTTCTATTTAACTCATCATCATCTCCGCATCACCACCCTCATCATCAACATCATCATAATCGGGACACGACCATCGGCATCCTCATCATCATCCGCATCATCATCATCATCATCATCGGGGCACAATCGCCATCACCACCATCATCATCATCACCGTCGTCATCGGGACACCATCATCAGGGTTTTTATCATCATCATCATTCCATCATCATCCAATCATCATCAACCTTATCCGGATCATCAACATCATTATCATTATCGGGACACCCGCATCATCATCAACATCATCACCAACATCATTATCATCCGCGCACCATCATCACCAACACCACCATCATCATCAACAACATCGCCAACATCATCACCATCATCATCATGGGGGCACCATCATCATCATCACCACCATCACCATCATCATCCACATCATCGACATCATCATCATCATCATCACCATCATCATCATCATCATCATCATCATCGGGGCATCGACGGGACACCGGCGGCACACCGGCGGGACACCGCGGGCCACCAGCCCCGGACAAAAAATCATTTGGTCCGGCCGCGCCTCAGCCGGAGGAGACTTTCTTCTCGCCCGCCCTCGCAGCTTCGCGTCGCCCGCGCGCACTGCACGCACGAACACGAAACCGATTTCCCGGTAGGGGGGCTTTCCGTTCCACTTCGATCTCTCCCTTTCACCTCCGACTAAACGGGATGACTGTAACACGGGGGCGGTATCCCCCCTCCCCTTCGGTGGCAAATCATGGGGGCCTGGTATGTCCTCCCAATTCCGTCCTTCGCGTCGATCGGCGTCGATTGGCGTCAGGGAGTCGTGAGATGGCGCCGATTCAGGGTAATGTAGCGTCTATCAGGCGTCTGTCGTTGTCGATTTAGCGTCGATCAGCGGCGATTTGGCGTCGACTCGCGTCGATTCGCAAGAGCCAACCAGATGGTATGGGAGGCTCCCGCGAGTTGCCACCGAAGCTCCCTGCCCCTGCCCCTAATCTTGTCCTCCTCCTCCTCCTCCTCCTCCTCCTCCTCCTCCTCCTCCTCCTCCTTGTCCTCCGAGTCCTTGTCCTCCCCTAATATTGTCCTCCTACGTTGCCACCGAAGCTCCCTCCTCCTCCTCCTCCTCCTCCTCCTTTTTGTCCTCCGTGTCCTCCTCCTCCTCCTCCTCCTTCCCCTCCTCCTCCTCCTCCTCCTCCTCCTCCTTCCGTTTCCTCATTATTCCTCTTCCTCCGCTTCCTCCCGCCTCCTCGTCCTCCTCCTCGTCTTCCTCCTCCTTCTTCTCCTCCTCCTCCTCCTCGTCCTCCTCCTGCTCCTCCCGCCTCCTCCTCTTCTTCCTCCCGCCTCCTCCTCCTCCTCCTGGCCGCCAAGCTCGGCATCACGCAAGCTCACGGCCTTCTCGACGCTTCGCAGTTCTATGACTCCATCCATTGGACCACCCCCATCGATGATGCCCTAGAGCTCAATTGCCCGCCTGAGATATTAGGCTTGGAGGTCCTACAGTGCACGGCACCGCGCGCGCTCATGCAGAGCGGCGCCTACGCCGATGCCATCCAACCCACACGATCAGTGGTTCAAGGGCTCCGATCGGGCACTCGTTTCGCCAAGATAATGACCTACAAGGCTTTGCTCCACGTCACCACGTGCCATCCTCAGGCACGGCACCGCATATGGGTCGACGACCTGTCGCAGCGCATGCAGGCCAGCCGACGCGCCCTGCGCGTCGACATGGTTCACGTACTCACCGACACCTGTATGGCGCTCCAGGACTACGGCCTCAGCATCGCCAAGAAGAGCGTCATTGTGTGCACTCACATCCAGGACGCCAAGTACATAGCCAAGGCCATGCGCATGAAGGGCTACCCCATCCAGCCTCGTGCGCAGGCCGCATACCTGGGGGCCGACCTCAGCTGCGGCACCAGGCAGGCGCGCGCTACTACTACCCAGCGGCGTCTGCGACACCGCAACATGCATGCCAAGATCGTCAGAGTAGCCCGAGTCACCAAGCGCTACCACGTCACATCTCGACTGGCCATCCAGGGTGGGCTTGCAGCTGCCAACTATGCCCACCAACTTTACGGCACATTTGGAACGGCCATGATTACTTGCAGACGGCGTTTGGGAGATGCGGTCGGACCACGACTTCGAGGACGGTGTTTGACCACTCTTCTCGACCTCAAGGCTGCAGAACGGGATCCCGCACGAAAGTTGCCACGTGAAACCGTTGTCGCCTGGCTTACTGCGTGGACTTCCAACCAGCAGCTCCACCTCGCCATCAACAGCACGTGGGTAAAGATTGTGGAGCATTTCAACCGCATCCCAGCAGCACAGTGTGTCCGACACATTCGTGGCCCACAATCCACCATCATCCACTACCTCATGCAGATGGGATGGGACCCAGCACGACCGACTCAATGGCACATGCCTCAGACTGCTGGCCTCAGTGGGGACTCTTGGGTGATCGACTCGACCGAGCTCTCGGGTTTCCCCGGCGCCGACATTCCACATCAGCTTCTACTTGACATCGACACCAGCATCTGCCACCAACTTTGGACCTGCGCCAGCAAGCACCACGGAGGCGAGGGCTTACAGCAAGGTGTAGACAACAGATCCTACCGCAAGCTGCTCGCCTACTTGGAGCGCATGCCACAGGGAGTAAGGTTGTCCAACCTGATGCTTACCATCGCGACTGGCGCCATGTGGACACGACAGCGAGTATATCAGGAAACAAAGATGCCAGACGTCGGCGCCAAGTGTCCCAGGTGCGGCCTGGCTAATGAAGACGACTTCCACCGCACCTGGGAATGCGAAAGCAATCAGGACAATCCCATCCTACAGGGCACTAACTATTTGCTGCCCGAGGCCCACGCCCAGCGAGAAATGTACGAGTGTTTCTGGACTAGGGGCTTAATGCCCTCAGCATGGACGGCGGTACCACAACCGCCACAACATGAGCAGTGGTCTTGCCATGGTTTCGAGCAATTCTTCCCGCAGTGTCTGCGAGGGCCCGCCGACACGACACTATTTGCTTTCGGAGATGCAAGTGGCGGCCAGGACACCAACAACCCACATCTTCGTCGGGTAGGAGTCGGAGCTGCCATATTCCATAGTCTCGAGGGCAACGACATGGAGATTCGTGCTGCTTTCTGGGGCCCGTTGCCAGGCCCCCATCAGACTGTACCCAGGGGAGAGCTTCTCGCTCTCGTCGCGACTGTGGAGGCCACAGACCCGGATCTCGTTTTTTCACCGACAATGAAGCATGCTATCTCAATTTCCATCACGGCAAGGTCCAGAAACCCACAGGCAGTGACGCCGACTTATGTTTGAGAATGAAGAAGGCTGCGGCACAACGGACAGGGTCGGTCACGGTTATCTGGATACCTTCTCATGCGGAACCACAGGATATCATTCAAGGGAGGATTGCCTCGTCTTTGGCGGTGGGCAATTGTGTTGCAGACACTCTAGCTGGAATTGCAGCCAGTGAAGCGCGTGTTTCACCTGAACACCGCCAGCGGGTTGCGCTGGCCGAGCAAAAAAAGCTTTTCAGGTTCGCATGAGGTTGTTACGGGCTGCGCTCGACACTCTCGAGGCCCAGAAGCGTGAGTTTCAGTGTCAGAGGGAGCAACGCCCTCAGAGGCAGGTGGCGTCTAAGACCGACCGACCGCCTGCCCCTCGTTCTTGCGCGCTCGTTGGGCCCCAACACTCTGTTGATCCCACAGGCTCTCAATGTACTAGGTGTTGTAGTTCCTCCAACAAGGCTTCGAGGTCTCGTTGGCTCCTTTCGGGATGTTTTGAGCTTCTTAATGTAGACGGCACTTATAAGGAGGCCCCTCATGGGAAGTCGGTCCATGTCGCGGGGGGGCTTGTTCACAGCAGCCACCGTTCTCGGTTTCACGCTGGGCTGAATTTGTGGTTCTGTGTGAGGTGTGGGGCTTATGCCCAGCAGGTTCTCGGGAAACTCGGGGAACCTTGCGATAAGCCCACCCCCACGGGGCAAGAATACCTCAAGCGTATTTCCAAGGGGCTCTGGCCGAAGGCCCTCGGTCGAGCTGAGAAGGCCACCGGAGCTCACAACACCCCAGCTGGGGTGGCGGAAGTCTAATTCCTCATATCGCTACGCGATCAGGCAGAGACTCCAGAGACTCCTCCTCTTCCTCCTCCTCCCCCCGCATCATCCTCCACCTCCTCCTCCTCCTCCTCCTACCACCTCGTCCTCCTCCTCCCGCCTCCTCTCCGTTGCCCCGTGTGCCCCGTCGGCCGTGGGCAAAGGTCGTGGAGCGCCTCGCGCGGCTGTCCGCGCAGGAGGCGGCGGCCGAGGCCGCGAGCGCGGAACCATGCCACCGGGGATCGCCGTAGGCGCGCCCGCTGCGCGCTGTTGCTCCTGCTCCCTCCTCCTCCTCCTCCTCCTCCTCCCTCCTCCCTCTTTCTCCACCTCCTCCTCTCCTCCTCCTCCTCCTCCTCCCCCCCTCCTCCTCCTCCTTTCCTCCTCCTCCTCCTCCTCCTCCTCCTCCTCTTCCTCCTCCCTCCCCCTCTTCCTCCTCCCCTCCTCTTCCTCCTCTCCTCCCTCTTCCTCCTCCTCCTCCTCCTCTCCCTCCTCCCTCCTCCTCCTCCTCCTCCTCCTCCTCCTCCTCCTCCTCTTCCTCCTCCCTCCTCCTCGTCCTCCTCCTCCTCCTCCTCTTCCTCCTCCTCCTCCTCCTTCTTCTCCTCCTCCTCCTCCTCCTCCTCCTTCCCCTTACTTTTTCTCCTCCTCCTCCTCCTCCTCCTCCTCCTGCTCCCCGCCTTTGTCAGAAGAGGAACCGTCACCGATACCGCTGCCCCTGCCTCGTTTCTGGAGCCTCGCGACTGGGGTCAATGCAAACTGGGCCCAGCCAGAGCGCCCCATCTTGCAGGATCCTGCAGGGACAGGGTCGCATTGACCTGGGCTTGTGCGCAGGATCCTGCAGGATCTTGCAGGATCCTTCGCGTTGACCGAGGTTTGGGTGTAGGATCTTACAGGTTTTGCAGGATTATGCAAGGCCTGACCCGAGTCTGGATTGACCCGGGTCAGAAGATCCCCGATCATTTTTTGTGTTTTTCGGCTTGCTGGGAGGCCCTCGCCGCCACCGCTGAGCTCGCTTCGGAGCTCTGGTCAGAGCGCACCCCAGGAGAGGTCCGAGGAGCAGGAGGAGGAGGAGGAGGAGGAGGAGGAGGAGGAGGAGGAGGAGGGAGGAGGAGGAGGAGCAGCGGCAGCGGCATCTTGTGGTCTCTTCACTTTCCCCTTCGGACGGCGCTGCCACAGCGGCTGCCGTCTCTGCGGCGCCCTCTCTCTGGTCCTGCCTTGGACTCCTCTGCGCGAGCAAGCCTCGCTGCGACCACCGCCGACGTGGGGGCGCCGGTGCGGGTGGCGGAGGAGGCGGCCACGGCAGTGGCTGTGTCTGTTTCCGCAGGCTCTGGATGTCCCTCCCCCCTCCCCCGGCTCCCGTTCGTGCCGATTTTGCTGCTGCTGGTGATTCTGGACGCCCGAAATGGGTGCCGAAAGAATGGGTACGATGCCCAACAGCAGTTCCTGTTCATTTTGAACAGGATTCGCTGTCCACGCCGCCGCGGCCTGTGTCCGCTCGAGACAGAAGGCCGCCTGCCCAACAGCGGCCGCTGATGGTTTGGGACAACATTTGTTGTTGGGCATCGTACCCATTGTTTCCGTACTCATTTCGGGCGTCCAAAGGTGATGCCCCCGCATCCTCAAAGGCACGGGACAGCGCACGCGCTTCAGTGAATGACGTGCGAACATGTGTGCAGACGCAGGTTTGAGCAGGCGGCGCGACCACGTGCGGACGTGGCTGATGTTCCCACGGTGGATGAGGCGAGGGGGGACGCGAGGGGGGGGCAGGAAGCAGGCGATCGGACACATGGATCAAGGGCGCGTGGGTTAGCGATGGGTCCCGTTTCCATGGGGAATCGCGGATTTCCGCCGTCGAGCGAGGCGGCACCGGCCGCATTTTAGGGAGGGCACCTCCCCGATCCATGGTTTTGGCGACCGCGCGCCAAATCCATCGATCGCTAATCCATGTTTGCGCGCCCCCGATGGGGGGCGGAGCAAGGCGAGTTGGCCCAGTCGCTACCGACGAGGCCGTCCCCAGAGGAGCCGCGAGCGCCATATTGCGTGCGGACATCTGCAGTTCTGCACTGGGTCAGAGCCAGCCCGCGGTCTGTCTGCGCGTCCCCCGCGAAAAGGCTCGCCGCGCCCTGGCATGGCCGTTCGTTCTCATTCGATCTCGTCTCCGCGGCCTCCCAGTACCCATCGGACGTTGAAAGTAGGTATTTTTGGATTCCCAGATTCCAATCAACTTCAAGCGCCTTCCTACTTACATTATCGAGTGGCGTCACCTTTTCCGTCCTCTTTAGGGGGCGGGCGAACACCCAATCTATTTCAACGCCTTCCTACTTCATGCTTCTACCTACTTCTTCCGACCGATAGGTAATGATCGCCACCGCATGGGATGCCGCCGCCCCTCCTCTCCCCCCTTTGCTCCCAAGTCTGCGGCTCCTCTTCCTCCTCCTGCCCGGCAGCTAGAGGAGGGACCTCCCGGCTGAGGCCCCAGGCGCTCGCCAGGCCAGTCCGGCAAGGCAGGCGGGCTCTGCGATCAAGGCTGCAGGACCTCCGACCGACCCGCCCTTCACGGCCCTGCCTGCCGCTGCTCACCCTGATCCCGCCCCCCGGCCCCTGGGGTTCGGAGGGCGTCAGCCAGGGGGCCACATGCGAACCCTGCCCCTGCCCCCCCACGATTTC